CCACGGCCGCCATTTTGAAAACCTATTTCAAACTTAAAGTCAAGTTCTGCTGGACCGATTGAACTTAAAGTTTGTAGGAATGATCGACTCATGGTCCTGACAAAGTGTTGTTATTTTTCAGGTCAATCATAAATCCAATATGGCCGCCACGGCCACCATTTTGAAAACATATTTCAAACTTAAAGTCAAGTTCTGCTAGGCCGATTGAACTGAAACTTTGTAGGAATGATTGACTCATGGTCCTGACAAAGTGTTGTTATTTTTCGGGTCGATCAGAAATCCAATATGGCCACCACGGCTGCCATTTTGGTAAACTATTTCAAACTTAAAGTAAAGATCTACTTGGCCGATTGAACTGAAACTTTGTAGGAATGATCGAATCATGGTCCTGACAAAGTGTTGTTATTTTTCGGGTCAATCAGAAATACAATTTGGCTGCCATGGCCGCTATTTTGCTACTAAGTTCTAATAGGCCGATCTCACTTAAAATTGGTCTAGGAATGATCAGCTCATGGTCCTGACAAAGTTAAGTTAACATTATACTATTTTTTACTCAAATTGGTACATATTTCAACAACAAAAATAAATACTATAGACTCAGGTGACCGTTAAGGCCCATGGGCCTCTTGTTTGGGAACTTCTTTATTTGTGGATGTGCAGTAACAAAATCAAAGAGTAAATATTAAGGTAAAGGTACATGCACAAAGGTGACTTACTGTTAATGAGTTGTTTTGTTTATTCTGACTCGCCAGTATACATTATATATACAGTGTACCACAATTATGAAACAAGTAATTACAACTTATATTAACCACTCTTGTTGGACCGGAAATTAGCCTGCGGGGGGTCTCAATGTCGGAGGAAACTAGAGAACCCTGAGAAAACCCACGTGGTTGGGCAGGTGTCCCAATACCCTTTCACGTCCAATGGGGGAGTCGAACCCCGGCCGCCTTTATGAAAGGCGAGTACGTTACCCACTGCGCCACCCGACCACCAAGCGTACATTGTTGTGACGGATGGTATTTGGTATTTATCCTATGTTAATACACTAGGATACTAATATAAAGACAACGGGAAACAGATAGAACTGCGATCAAATTATTTCTGAAATATATATATAATTTGCACGCACAATCTCGAACAATATCAAAAGTAAGAGTCTGAGAATAAAATGCTAAAAATATTGAATTACTCCTGTTTGCAGACACTGATCCCGATGCGCTTCGAAGCCAGTTGTTACCCAAGATACATTATGACGTCGGTTTGGAGAAATCGCAACGCATACGGAAATCACGGCTTGGTGGAGGAGGTGCACTGAAACAACCCAAGATGTAAGTTGTCGTTCTAACTCAATTTGGTCTGTCACTAATCAGTGGAATATCGGCTTTTTTAAGCTTTATTAACCTTTCACTACCTTAAATTCCTGGGCGATAGGGGATATTGTTTATTTTTCAATACCCACAAAATGCTTGTTTATTGCGTATTATTGAAATTGACTAAATATATGGTTGTATAACTGAATCTCTTTTTTATGTAATGTCCTTGATATAAAACATTTATTAATACATTAAAGTATCAAGAGGAGGTGATTAGAGATTTGTTCGTGTACACGTTGTATAACAATAACATGATTGGATCTACACATGTTATTATCATAAGATTTTACCCAAAATGTTATATGGACAAAATCTTACCTAAATATGTTACATTTACAAAAGGTCGGATCATTATGTTAATATAACAATATGGAACCACAACATGTTTCTGTAACAAAAGTTTGATTTAAAGCATGTTGCTATTTCCATTTTTTTTTATTCTAAAGCAGGTTTATACCATAAGATGTTGCTATAACACAAATATACGACGATAACCACTTGAGCAAGATGTACCTCGATATGTTTCTGTGATAAAATTGTTTCTTTATATGTTACTATATAAAGAATTTATGCTTATATATTTCCTTAGCAATAATAAATCTTACTTTGACGAGATTGTTCCTGAATATGTTACTATTATAGCATTGTGCTTCAATATACTATTATAACATTATTTCATCGAGATATGCTGTATCAAATATGGTACAATAAAACGAGTGTACCTCAATATTGTATTTTAACAACACGGCATTGAAATATCAATTTCACTGTTTGAGGAACGTGCTACGGAGATCCCAACAATAAAACTTCTATACATTGTTGTTTAATCTCTGACAATATGGAATTGATAATGTCTAAATAATGCATCGAATAATAACATATCATAATTAAATTCAGCTAATGGAAGCTTGCAATCACTTTTTCTTTTGATATTCAGGAAGAGAACAGACCTTATTATACCGGAGGAGAAACACTTAAGCTCTTTCCTGTTTTTGTTGCCATTCATAGCAAAAGTGAATGCCATACTTCAATTTATCATTTGAAAATATATCAATATCAAAGAGAATAGAATAAAATGATTTGAAGTTTAGAATTTTAAATAAATGGATTGTGCTCTTTTAACAGCAGAATGTTTAACTCTATAAGTAACAACAAACTTTTAAATCATATAACAACAGATAGTTAAATATGTAACAACACGCTTTTCTATTCTATATCAGCAGCCGTGTTAACTTTTTTTCTCAGCAAAATTCTTTTTATTCTGTAACTACAAACGTTTTTGTTCCATAAAAACAGACTGTATAATTCTTTATTTCTATGACTGCAGAATACTTTATTCCATACAACAGACTTTTCAATTATAAAAGCAAACATTTCATACAGCATCACTCATTTTTATATAACAACACGAAATGTTTTCATTATATAACATCAGACTTTTTAATTCTATAACAGCAGATTTTTTAAATTCTATTACATCCGACTTTTTCATTTATAACATCAGACTTTTTAATTCTATAACATCAGCCTTTTTTATTCTATAATTCAGACTATTTAATTCTATAACATCCGACTGTTTCATTTATAACATCAGACTTTTTAATTCTATAACATTAGACTTTTTCTTTTCATATAAAACATCCGACTTTTAATTCTATAACATCCGACTTTTTAATTCTATCACATCAGACATTTTAATTATATAACATCTGACTTTTTAATTATATAACATCAGACTATTTAATTCTATAACATCAGACTATTTAATTTTATCACATCAGACTTTTTAATTATATAACATCAGACTTTTTAATTATATATATCAAACTTTTTAATTCTATAACATCAGACTTTGAAATTCTATAAGATCAGACTATTTAATTCTATAACATCAGACTTTTTAATTATATAACATCAGACTTTTTAATCATATAACATCGGACATTTTAATTTTATAACATCAGACTTTTTAATGCTATAACATCAGATCTTTTAATTTTATCACATCAGACTTTTTATTTATATAACATCAGACTTTTTAATTATATAACATCAGACTATTTAATTCTATAACATCAGATTTTTAATTTTATCACATCAGACTTTTTAATTATATAACATCAGACTTTGAAATTCTATAATATCAGACTATTTAATTCTATAGCATCAGACTTTTTAATTATATAACATCAGACTTTTTAATCATATAACATCAGACATTTTAATTTTATAATATCAGACTTTTTAATGCTATAACATCAGACTTTAAAATTCTATAAGATCAGACTTTTTAATTCTATAACATCAGATCTTTTAATTATATCACATCAGACTTTTTAATTATATAACATCAAACTTTTTAATTCTATAACATCAGACTTTGAAATTCTATAAGATCAGACTTTTTAATTCTATAACATCAGACTTTTTCTATTCATTTATAACATCCGACTTTTTAATTCTATCATATCAGACTTTTAATTCTATAACATCAGATTTTTTAATTATATAACATCAGACTTTTTAATTATATAACATCAGACTTTTTAATCATATAACATCAGACTTTTTAATCATATAACATCAGACTTTTTAATTCTATAACATCAGACTTTAAAATTCTACAACATCAGACTTTAAAAATCTATAAGATCAGACTATTTAATTCTATAACATCAAACTATTTAATTCTATCACATCAGACTTTTTAGTTATATAAAATCAGACTTTTTAATTCTATCTCATCAGACTTTTAAAAAATTCTATAACATCAGACTATTTAATTCTATAACATCAGACCTTTCAATTCTATAAAATCTGACTTTTTAATTCTATAACATCAGACATTTTAATTCTATAACATCAGACGTTTTAATTCTATAACATCAGACGTTTTAATTCTATAACATTTGATTTTATAACATCAGCCTTTTTAATTCTATAACATCAGACTTTAAAATTCTATAAGATCAGACTCTTTAATTCTATAACATCAGACTTTTTAATTATATAGCATCAGACTTTCTAATTCTATAACATCAGACTTTAAATTTCTATAAGATCAGATTTCTTAATTCTATCACATCAGACTTTTATTTCTATAACATCAAACTTTTTAATTCTATCACATCAGTCATTTTAATTCTATAACATCAGACTTTTTTTTATTATATAACATCAGACTTTTTAATCATATAACATCAGACTTTTTAATTGTATAACATCAGAAGTTTTAATTCTATAACATCAGACTATTTACTTTATAACATCAGACTTTTTAATCATATAACATCAGACTTTTTAATTCTATAAGATCAGACTTTTTAATTCTATAAAATCTAACTTTTTAATTCTATAACATCAGACTTTTAAATTTTATTACATCAGACTTTTTAATTCTATCACATCAGACTTTAAAATTCTTTAACATCAGGCTTTAAAATTCTATAACATCAGACTTTTTAATTATGTAACATCAGACTTTTTAATTCTATCACATCAGACTTTTTAATTCTATCTCATCAGACTTTTTAATTCTATGACATCAGACTTTTTAATTCGAAAACATCAGAACTTTTAATTCTATACCATCATACTTTTTAATTATCTTACATCAGACTTTTTAATTCTATAACATCAGACTTTTAAATTCTATAAAATCTAACTTTTTAATTCTATACCATCATACTTTTTTATTATCTTACATCAGACTTTTTAATTCTATAACATCAGACTTTTAAATTCTATAAAATCTAACTTTTTAATTCTATAACATCAGACTTTTTAATTCTATAACAGCAGATATTTTTAATTCTACATCAGCAATTTGTTTTAATTCTACATCAGCAGATATTTTTAATTTTAAATCAGCAATTTGTTTTAATTTTATAAGAGCAGACTAATTAATTCTATAACAGCAGACTATTTAATTTTTAACATCAGACATTTTCATTTTTTGGAAGCAGACTTTTTAATTCTATACCATCATACTTTTTTATTATCTTACATCAGACTTTTTAATTCTATAACATCAGACTTTTAAATTCTATAAAATCTAACTTTTTAATTCTATAACATCAGACTTTTTAATTCTATAACAGCAGATATTTTTAATTCTACATCAGCAATTTGTTTTAATTCTACATCAGCAGATATTTTTAATTTTAAATCAGCAATTTGTTTTAATTTTATAAGAGCAGACTAATTAATTCTATAACAGCAGACTATTTAATTTTTAACATCAGACATTTTCATTTTTTGGAAGCAGACGTTTTAATTCTATAACATCAGACTTTTTAATTCTATACCATCATACTTTTTAATTATATAACATCAGACTTTTTAATTCTATAACATCAGACTTTTAAATTCTATAAAATCTAACTTTTTAATTCTATACCATCATACTTTTTTATTATCTTACATCAGACTTTTTAATTCTATAACATCAGACTTTTAAATTCTATAAAATCTAACTTTTTAATTCTATAACATCAGACTTTTTAATTCTATAACAGCAGATATTTTTAATTCTACATCAGCAATTTGTTTTAATTCTACATCAGCAGATATTTTTAATTTTAAATCAGCAATTTGTTTTAATTTTATAAGAGCAGACTAATTAATTCTATAACAGCAGACTATTTAATTTTTAACATCAGACATTTTCATTTTTTGGAAGCAGACGTTTTAATTCTATAACATCAGACTTTTTAATTCTATACCATCATACTTTTTAATTATATAACATCAGACTTTTTAATTCTATAACATCAGACTTTTAAATTCTATAAAATCTAACTTTTTAATTCTATACCATCATACTTTTTTATTATCTTACATCAGACTTTTTAATTCTATAACATCAGACTTTTAAATTCTATAAAATCTAACTTTTTAATTCTATAACATCAGACTTTTTAATTCTATAACAGCAGATATTTTTAATTCTACAT